GTGTACTTTGCTGAGGCGCCAGTACTCTGACACAGAAAACTAAAGAACTTGTAAAACTACAACTCCCATGTTTCTATAGCATTGAGGCATGATGTTATCAAACTGCATTGATTCTATTGTGTAAATGCACCCCAAGTGCTTGATAGAAGCATTGAGATACATAAGCAGGATAATCCAGAGGCAAGAATGAATACATCCTAGATAGCTTACTGTGTAAGAATGCACCCATACTTTTATATTAATGTTCCTAGGCTGAGCCAAGCAGCATCATTTTGGCATGGCATTTTATAACATCAGTGATGAGTTTTTATGTCCTGCCTGCGGTGTCATACAAGAGCCTTGTTATTTCCTAACCTGCTCTCCTAGAAGAATTACAGACTAGTATCATAGGGATGCCGCAACCATACCGTTCTTGGCACTCTTCTTGTAGACAGAGCTAGGACGTTAAGCTCTCAATCCCATCCCCATCTGCTGCCGGTATGTGGCCTGGAGCAGCAGAGGCAGTTTGGGTTGCTAAAAGCAGGATCCTGCCAAGAGCAGCATCAGTCCCACACTATTCTAATAGTCAGGTCTGTTTTGTGTATTGTTTTGCAAAGGGAGTTTATTGCCACCTCGCACAGAAAGCTCTCAGTAGATGTTTGGCTAAGAATGAAATAGTTTAGGAGAAGAAAATTAATTAATAAATTTGAAACATTTATATTCCATCCTTCTCACCCCAAAGAGGACTCATGATGGAGCACAACATATATATGGCAAACATTCAATGCTGGACATAAAACTATAAATATACACAAACATTAAAATCACTTATGTATATCTAGTTTAAAATCAGCTGTTTAAAACCATCTCAAGACACCATGCTGGCTCTGATCAGCAGAGTAAGTTGCCTATTATTGCTTCATTCCACTGCCCCAAAGGCTTGGTCCCACAGCCAGGTCTTTATCATCTTTCTGAAGGACAGGAAGGAGGGGGCTGATCTACTCTCAACAGGGAGTTCCATAGCCGGGGGCAATCACTGAGAAGGCCTTTCTCTCATCCTCGCCAAATGCACTTGTGATGGTGGCGGGACCGAGAGCGGGGCCTCCCCAGAAGATCTTAGTCTTCACGGTGGTTCGGAAAGGGAGATGTATTCGGACAGGTAAAATGTTCTGGGGGCATTTAGGGCTTTATAGGCCAAAGCCAGCACTTTGAATTGTGCCCAGTAACAAACAAGGCCATCAGTGGAACTGGCGTAACATGGGAGTTGTGTTCTCCCTTTATGCCACCCCAGTTATTAACCTGGCTGCCTCTTGTTGGACTCTTTGAAGATTCCGAACAGTTAAGTAATGAGACACATTGGGTGTAATATCTGGATGGTACTGCTAAACAACTGTCTTCCTTTAAATGAACAATAAGTTCTAATTTTCAGCTCCATCTTTATCCCAGTAACTATTCACTCATAACTTGTAAGCAAATGTGTTCCTTGCCTTATGCTTCTCATAACTTTTTCTGAATTCTAAATACTTTTAAAAATATTGGCAAATAAGGTTGTTAGAGAGAATACATTGTGTGGGGAGGTTAAGCTGGAGCTTGTGATAAATTAGTGAAAAATAGGTTATCCTTGTTTGATGAAGGTTGCCTTTCAAAAGTTGCTCAGCATCAGCACAAAATCTGTATGCTTTGTGATAGATACAAAATTCATCGATGTGCTTCAGACACAACATTTTGCATAAAAACATCCATTCCCTGCTTACAAGGAGTGGAAACAGTGTTTGAAACATACATGTATCTTCCGTAACCCAGCAATAGGGGCATGCATTTGAATGTCAATACTAGAACATAAAAATACCTTGCAGGAATCAAGCCTTCATTCTCGGTTAAAGGAGCTAATGAGCAGACGTTAGCACCCTCCGTACAATGGGGCCTATTAATGCGATGGAAAATCAGTTTCTGTGATCGCGTAAATATAACCTGGAGGATCGGCGGAGTGCTTGCTTCGGTTTCAGAGCTCTGTTTGCATCTTTCTATGTTAACCATTTTTTTCTCTTTTATTTACATTGCACTCAAGTTTCCCCGAGTACAAAAGATTTGCAGGTGCAAATATGTCCTGCCTTCATTAACTTCCCCTCCCCTTTTAAATTTATGTGATTTCAATTTTCCTTCCCTGTACTGTTAATTAGGGGATCCTCTAATCAGTACCATTATCACAGTGGTATTCATGTTTAGGAAAGCTGCTAAACAAATGCTTGCAAAATTGCTAAATGGCTAATTAATGTCTGTTAATTAAGAAAATTGCTCATGGTAACAAACCGTGCCATTGCTGGCAGCAGCTAGAAGGCGAACACTTGTTGAAATTACTAACATGGCAGGTATAGAACATCTGTTCCTCTGCTTTTCCTGAAGTGTCTAGCTGCTGCTCATAATGTACTTACAAGTCTTGTTTGCTTTCCAGACCAATGACAATTTGCTTTTTATTCGAGAGAGAGAAAAAAAGAGCATGCATATATGATAGTGTAAATCTGGATAGTCATGTTCAGGAGCATGCTTTTCGACACGAACTTCTCAGTTCTCAGAAAGAAGGAAATTGAAATGGTATTTGCAAGTGGAAAAAAGTCCAGCATTGCTATATTGGAAGGTTGAAACTACACCAACCAATTTCCCCCTCTTTTCTGGCAAATATCACAATGAACAACATAGATGTGTTCCTGAGTATTGCTTCTTTAACTGCATATTTTGTGCCAGAGGCAGAAATAACATGGAGATAGGTATAGGTTCCCATACATTTTTCAACAAATGTGTTATTTGAAACTAACAAAATATGCATGTATACAGTTCAGCAACTAGGTTACGTAAACTTTGCGTTTTGAGCCTTTAGAGACCCCTTAAAGGTTTCTTCCGAAATGCTCCTGGTGATGAGTTTTTCTTTCGCCAGCATTCACTTCTCTTAGGATTTTCATTTGGGTGGCCACACCTTTGGATGTATGGCCTTGTTAAAAATATGCTGGGGGGTAACTGGTGAGGCAGGCTTTTTTTTTTTTTTTTTTTTTTTGCCGTTCATACATTCTTTCTTAAGGGATTCTGGGGGTGTTTCTTATACAGCTACAGTAAGACCAGCTAGATCAGAATCCCATTCTTTCCTTGCTCAGGCATTATGGAATTGCTTAGTCTACAGAAGTTGCTCGAGTCCAAAACCAAGAGTCGACTTCTCCAGCCCTCCTCCTCCATCCTCCCAGTGCTGATGCTGTCAAAAAAATCTTTCATTTGAGCAAGAGCAAGGCAGAAAGAGGATTGCTTGACAGTCTTTTAAAACTTCATAAAAAGGATCTTTATCTTAGGATTTGTTAATGGAGGCATACCTGTACAGTGAGCCTTCTACATCTGCTGAAAGTGAAAAACTGTGAATACAGAAACTGAATAATATGTCTTCCAACATGACTCTGAGGTTGACTTCCACTGGAAGACGGCTGTCGTATTGCAGGCATTATCTTAGAAATCACATTGAAAGCCCTAGAAATTTCTAGAGAGACCGTTTTGATCAAATTCATGAACAATCAGATCCCAAATTTCAAATCCGCAAATTTCATAGCCACAAATGTGGACAGACAACTGAAATACAGTAAAAAGCATATATTTCGTCCCAACCGAAGTGGGCTGATGGACTAAAAACAGCCAAAGCAGACACCAGGCGAGGAGGGGCAAACCCAAGAATGAGGTTGCCAGTCTGAACTCAAAGCACCAACAACAGGGCAGCAATCGTCCGGGTGGCTTGGTGGTAGGGCCATGGGGGGCCGTCGCATCAGACCAGCGTGATAGAGCAATGGAACAGCAAGGCAGTGGGACCATAGAGGTCCTCCGTGCAGGTGTTGCTATGGCCCCGTGCAGGTGTTGTTATGGCTGGGCAGCAGGTGGTGAGGCCATTGAAGTGATAATAAGTAATAATACCTGATGACGATCACGACGGTGATGATGATGTGTTAAATTTCAAAATGGCACAAAACTGTAATCTCCCATGTGTGACAGTATTTTTAAAAAGCAGTGGCTGGTAGACTAATGAATTGAGTCTCCTAGATATGGAATCATAATCCTGAGCCAGAATGTCCTCATGATTCTCCCAGTTACTTCATTGTGGTGCACAACCCTTGACTCACATAGCAAGTGGAGTCACAAAGCACCTTTGCTTCTCTGATAAGGAAGGGCAAAAATGAGTAAATTCTGTATAAATTCTTCAAACAACTCTCAAGATGTAGGGAATGATTCAGGCGCATAGAAAACAAAGTCAGTATATTGTACTAGAGGGCTTGTTGTTCAGTTTATAGAAACTGTATTATCTTAACCCTTATCTTGACTCATATAGCCAAAGCAAATCTGCATTTTTTTGTTTACTCAATTCTCTGGATCAGCATAATTTGAATAAAGTGTGTATTAAAGTGGGCAGATGTCAGGACGCAGTTGGTGGACATGTTGCAATTTTGCAATGCCATGTGTGCAATTTCCAGTATTAGACTAGAGGAGGCTTTTTTAAAAAAATATTCCGGAGTTGATTATGTTAATTGAGATCACAGTTTGCATTTATTAAGGTACAGCAATGAAAATGTTTGCTCACAAATTGTCTGTTAGTGCTGTTTAGATTTCCTATCAAACAGTGGGTCCAGAGCAGAACTGATTTGCTATTCGATCAACGATTTCCTTTGTAATCCCAAATCCAGATATTCCAAATGCTGAAGGATGTGATATGAAAAACTAATGAATGATATTGTTTGACATCTCTGTTTTCACTGTCTTTAAAAGAACTGCAATTGCATTTTCAAACCCACCCATACAACCACAGGGGCTAGAAACCTAAATTTTGGTTGCTTGAGAGTTCATTGATTCCCCACCCCAGTTTGTTAAAGTTTGCAGTGTGTAGAAAAAAGCCTTTTGCTCCCTATAAAGATTTGCCGACTTCTCCTTGTAAGCCAGCTATTTTCCTGCACAGTTTTTGTGCCTGACCTATAACTGCCTTCTACTATCTAACCTCACAGGGACCGCCTGGCTCTCAGCCCTCGCCACACGCACAGCCTCCACCTCACAACCCCAACAGCATGATGGGACCCCACAGTCAGGTAAAGACCTTGCAGGGCACGGCTGTGCTATTTGTGATCTGTGTGAACCCTTCCAGCCTATGGGAGCCACACCACTCCACTCATTGAGCCAGTTTGAGCTCTGTTCTCCTTTGCGAAGCTTTGCGGATTTACATCCACTCAAAATAGAGGCCCTCAGTAGTGATTTCATTCCATTCCCTTCCACCTCCGCTAGGAAGTCTGTTTTTCTTGACTGTATTTTGTTTCATTGACATTAGATTAGAAAGTAGCTTTCAATTTTCGACGTGCTGATTTGCATACAAATATCATTTTTTAATTCTTTTTCTCCCGAAAGGTAGTAGACATTCATTATGTGGTTTAAGTGATTGTTTTCACCACTTGTCACTGAAATAGTTTAAATCTTCCCCTCCCCAACCCTCCCTTTCATTTACCAATCTATGAAAAAGCATCAACTGTTTAGTTGGCATTCTCCTTGTTCTAATTTTAGCAGTTGTACCTAGTACTGTCACAGTTTATTAAGCCATCCAACCATAAATGAAATAAAATGCAACAAATGCCTAAGAAGAGTTTTAAGGTATTTCTTAGTAGTAGTATTTTTTTTCCCTGCGGGGTTCTGTCTATGATAATATCCAAGTTGTGTGAAATGCATTGTATGAAAATCAGATTTTTAGTTTATGGTATCAGTGAGTGTGTTTGTGTATGGAGTAAGGAAGAAACAACCGATTTGGGTATTTGAGGTACAGCAGTGGGGAAGTGTGACCCTAATATTTACTTCTAATGTTGAATGTATGTTGCAACTGAATTAATTTTATATGCTTACAGCCTTTTATGTCACCAAGATACGCAGGAGGTCCCCGGCCCCCTATCAGAATGGGAAACCAGGTATTGTATTTCTCCAGTCTTCATGTCAAGGTATTTTCTGAAGTACAATTCAGGCTTAGATGTACATGAATGAAGCTTTGAACACTGAAGTCATAACAAGTTTTGACAAACTTTTTTCTCTTTCGCTGAAGGGCTATTTTAGACATGTTTAATCTCAGGTAGCCTTTTGCTGGCAGGAACACAGATGCATAAATCTAACAAACGGCAGCAGCTCGGGGTTAGAAAAGTATACTGTCGGTGGCCAGATTCTTCCTTGCATCTGTGTAAGCTAAGCTATAAGAGGTGCACATGAGATGTGTTGAATCAAAAAAACATCCCATTGTGTGTTGGGCTTTTTGGCATTTCTTTGAAGGACTACCTCAAATAATAATAATAATACTTGCACTTGAAACTATAGTGACTTGAAAACCCAAACAGAACCTTGGTGATCTAACCAAAGGACCGACCTACTTTGGCATTGTAGTTTTGGTTCATGAGATGTTTCTTGGGAAGTTTACAAGCAAGACAAAAAAAAAAAGGAATAGCTGATCTTCCCCATTGAAGTGCATTCTGCCTCTATCCTGCAAGTCCCATACAGCCATTTTAACCAATGGATAGTTTAATTTCCACACGCCCTACTAAATAAGTCATAATAACAAGTAATCCTGTACACCCATTTTCCATCTTAGCTGTGGAAAACTAAACATAACATAGCATAAACAATTGTGCTGGTTGAAATGTACATGATAAATAACTTGCAAAGGAAACTTATTAGCAGATAGCAGCCATGCCCCAGTGGTGCAGTGGGTTAAACTGCTGAGCTGCTTATCTTGCTGACTGAAAGGTCGATGGTTCGAATCCGGGGAGGGGGTGAGCTCCCACTGTTAGCCCCAGCTTCTGTCAACCAAGCAGTTAGAAAACATGCAAATGTGAGTAGATCAATAAGTACTGCTTCTGCAGGAAGGTAATGGTGCTTCATGCAGTCAAGCCGGCCATATGACATTGGAGGTGTCTACTGACAACCCCGGCTCTTCGGCTTAGAAATGGAGATGAGCACACACACACACACACACCCAAGAGTTGGTCTCAACTAGACTTAATGTCAAGGGGAAACTTTTACCTTTACCTTTTAGCAGCCATGTTCCATCTGGCGAAAGCACCAAATCGTCTTGTGTTGAGAATTGACAAATTTTATTTTTTTAGTTGTATTGCAGTTGTATCTGATCAAATGGACTGACGTCCACAAATTCCTATGCCCAATGAAAACATGTTTCTCACTTTGTTGATTTTACATTGTTTTTTGGGGTTGAAAGTAACCTTACCAGAACTGAAGCAAAGTTGAGAGTTTTGTGCTTTTGCAAAGTTGATGCCTTAACTGCTTCAGCTTAATGTAGCTGAGGACCTATCCGCACCAACCCATTTGATCAGTGCTCGTGTATTTCTTGAGTAGGATGTTTCTCTTTTATACCCTCTATTGCACCCACAGTATATAAATTCTTCCTGTTATCTTCACTATGTCTGCATTTAAGTCTGTACAGCAGTTTTGATAGGATAGGTACTATAGTCTGAAAAATAACATGATATTTTCAAAATGAAATTGCTGCTGTGTTGGAGTGGTTATCCTTTTCTTTTGGGAAAAATGATGAAAGGACTACACCAGCACTTCTGCATTTTTGCTGAGCAGAGAGATACTTGCATCATTAAAAAATTAAAAAGTGGAGAGAGATTCTGTCCTTCACTGGTTAAAGTCAAACATATCATAAGTAAGCCCCTGTATTACTAGAGCAACCACATACCGTTGTGAATATTGACAACCAGTTGGACTAGGAGAGGAAAGAGTCTTCCTTTCCCCATTAACAACATTTTTGTCATTTAATGTGGAGGAAAGTATGACAGAAGCACTAACTGAAGAAAGGCACCTGGATTTCCTTCCGCATATGGTAGCTGTGCATTATTGTACTCTAAACTGATTTTCTAGAAACCCTAAGCCAGTGAACAAGGGGGAATTCATAGGTAGGCAGAGATTTGCTACATTGCACAGTTCCATTGCACAGTTTCACACATTTCTAAACTTCAAGGGAAATCAATCTGCCAAGGACTACATTGGGAGATTGCTTGTGCTGGGGTAAATTGTGGGCAGTTTTCTGGGAATAAAGCAGGCTTTTTAAAGCTGATGCTGTGTATTTTTTTAATACTGATGGTACTAGTTTGGCATCAAGCAAGACCATACATTCAGCTGCTTATCTAGAGCATAGATTTCTGGAAGTGATCAGTGGTAGAAAGAGTGGAGGGGAATTAGACCTGAGCAGGTCTCATTTTTACTATAATTGGGAGACAGATGTGTGGATCAGATCCTTCTGACCCTAAGTCCCATTGAATGATAGTTTTCTCTGTCCCATGTATGCATACATGCATATGTTTATATAGAAACTTATTCCTAGTATTCTGAAAGGTCCCTTTCGTCTGTTTAATTAATTGCATGTTGCCCAAAATAACTGAAGGTCTGAAAGATTCAATGGCTCACTTAGCACATTTCTACTATCGCTTGCCATTATTACTTGAAACATTTATCTACAGTGGTGGGCAGAGAGTCACATAAACTGCAGTTGAAATATTCAAGTGTAAAATGTCTCAAACATGAAAGGAAAGCTAAGCACACAAGTTTATTAAAACATATATCTGGTAAAATCACATGCACAGTGATTACTTTTCTGAGGGCTGTTTGATTATTACTTCCGCCCTCCGTTTTGCTTAAAATGTTGATACGTCTCAGCGCTGCAGACGTCAAATGACATCTTTATGTGTCACATGGCTTTAAGCTCTTTTTCTTTTGCCTAATTATTTCTATTTGGACTTCAACTGTAGGGCTATGCAGGTCTGTGGATAAAGAGATCTATCGTAAATCCATCCCCAAAATCTTGGCATTGCACTCTTTGTTCATATATATGTTATTACAAAGGGTCTCAATGGTTTTGCATCCAAGGGACGATCTGAGTAACATCCTTTCAGCTTCAAAGTGCTGCAACTCTAGGGATCCTAGCTCATTAAAGGCACATAATATGCTTTGTAAAGAATCCAAACATTTAGTGTAATTGCAACCATAAGCCATTTTAAAAACTTTGGGTCAAGACATTATAGGAATGCTTGTCACAAAAATGAGAGCATGGCTAGGGTTATGTAGTAGAAACATTAAAACATGCAAAGTAGAAACACATTAGTGTGAGTGAGCATATATTGCTTTTTAAGATTGAAAAAGTGTATGGATATGTCCCAGTGTTTGATCTTTAGACCACTTCTGTAATGTTTATGTTGATACCAACAGCTTCCATCTTTTGCGATTCCAACACAAAACTCTATTTTTAAAGAAAATGCTCAAATTGCAAAGCTTGCCTGTATTTTGACTTCTCAGGGGACAAGGCAATCTATATATTTTCTTTTCTGCATTATCAGGACATTTTAAGAACTTGAAAGATTTGTAGCCTAAATAGCACATGCCTTTGAAAGAAAAGAAAATGACTAAAGAAGCTTTTAAAGCTCACAAAAACAACATCATAATCTGTGCGTGTTGAGTCAGTAAAAAAAAAAAGTAGGGAAAACTTTATAATCTTTATTAATGAGACTGCACTCTGACACCAAGAGATGAAGAGCCAACCTTAAGAAATAGGGCCACAAAGAGGAGTCCGCAACATGCAGGTGTGGAGAAGAGCAAACCACTGACCACTTATTACAATGCAGTCTGAGCCCTGCCACTTGCACAATGGAAGACCTCCTTATAGCAACACCAGAGGCACTCCAAGTGGTCAGCTACTTGTCAAGAGACATTTAATATAATGCCAAGTTTTTAAACTTTGTGTTTTAAAATACTGTACATTACACCTGTACCCTTGGTTTGCTTCTGATACAATAAATAAATTAATGAGACGATGGTTCCACAGGAGGGAAAATAACTAATATGTTCTCATATTATATTTGTCTAAGTTTGAATCTTAAAATCGCATTGGTATCAGTAACAAATGCTAAAGATCATCATTCTGAAAATCAGACTGTATGGAAAAGACACTGAGGTACCTTATAAATTAATGGTTCTCAACCTGTGGATCTCCAGATGTTTTGGCCTTTCAACTCCCAGAATTCCTAACACCTGGTAAACTGCCTGGGATTTCTGGGAGTTGTAGGCCAAAACACCTGAAGACCCACAGGTTGAGAACCACTGTGATAGATGCATTGAAAAGGTGTCCTGTGTAGACAATAGGACATGCATTTTCTGTACTTCTGAGGGACTCTGATCAAACAGGCTTTGCAAGTTTGTGGGGCAAAACATCAAATAATCTGTGTGTGCACCTAAACAAATTGATGCTCTAGCTGCTCACTTTTAAGCATCTGATTTTTCCAATTTATTTCCCCTTTTTCTAGCCTCCAGGGGGTGTTCCTGGTACGCAGCCCTTGCTGCCCAACTCAATGGACCCCACACGACAACAAGGTAAAAAGGTTGTTTGAGGTTGCTGTGGATGTTCTTTTAGGCTGGCTTGGCTTTTCTGTTCAGTGAATGCATTACTCTTCTATAACATCTTCTCTTTCTCCTCTCTCCAGGGCATCCCAACATGGGAGGACCAATGCAAAGGATGAATCCTCCACGAGGAATGGGACCCATGGGTCCGGGTCCACAGGTAAAACCTGGGCAGAGCATTTCCTATCCTGTCCAGTGCCAAGTAATGTCTTCATTGTTCTCGGAGCAAAACCTCATAAAAGCAGGCTCTGGGGGCGAGAAGAGTTAGGAGCACTTCCATTACTTCCAAACTCTTTTCTCCCTGCCATTAGTGGTAATGCGTTTTACATTAGTATGTTTACATATGTCTGAAAGAAACCCCACTTTTCAAAATCTACTTATGGCTTCAAAAGTGAACATTCTAGCATCACGTAGTTTTTGTGCCCATCTACCACCGCTGCCCCTGACAACTTTCCAGTTTTGCTCTTTAGTCCAAATGGGCAAACAGCTATTTAATTGGGATTGTGCCAAGGATACATCTTCCAATTCAAGATGATAACCCTTGGAGGGGAAGGTGCAGAGATAGTGGACTATAATGCTGCATGTATTTGAATTAATCAATTTTTAATATTTAAATTAGCACCAGTCTATTCTGCTTTTATTTGCCTCCTTTGTACATGGGCAGAGGAAGTATAAAAGCCCTGATCAGTAGCCAAGGAAGGTTTCCTCCCTAGATATACAAGAGGAACTTTGTATTGGCTAACTTTTGTTTTTCATACTTTGCCTTTATGTTAGAGAAGAGGTGGGCAAAGGATGGACAGTTGGGGCTTCTAAGAGATCAGAGAAATGTTTAGGGAAAAACATTGTTGCTCCAAAATACCCCAAAATAATTCCTGTTTTGGTGGAGGACATTGTAATTTCATTTGGAAGCCCTTTGGAGAGTCATCTTTTGAAATAGGAAGTGAACCAGAAGTGATTTGCAATTACTTCCTTTGGATTTTTAAAGCCTTTTTGGGACCTACAGTGGTACAGAAAGGACCCAAAACATGTTGAAAATACTCCCTGGTCCCCAACTCAACTAGTTCTGATTCAGTAGGTAAACATGTTGGGTGGAGGGGGAAGACAATTTCAAATAGTAGGATGTATAGGCTAACTGAAAGTTTCTTGATTTTTCATGTCCAGTTATGTTATTTATATCATTGTCTGGAGATCCAGGGCTGATTTTCTAGACCCCTTTTCTCTCGCCCTCCACATCATAGTTAACAAGTAAAATGAGTATTTCAGTCCAGGTTGAGAAAGGCTGTCTCAGATCAGCTTTTCACAATGCTGAAAAGTGCACTCTCTTGATGAAGAGAAGTGTCATGATCTATCTAGCCCAGGTATGGGCAAATTTCAACCCTCCAAGTGTTTTGGACTTCAACTTCCAAAGTCCTAACAGCCAATAAGCTGACTGGGATTTCTAGAAGTTGAAGTCCAAATCACTTGGAGAGATGAAGCTTTCCCTTGCCTGCTCTACCCTCTCTTTGGTTCATATTTTGTGAGGTTTCAAATGATTGAGATAGCATGTGTTCATTTACATGTTGTAGTGTTGATTGATGCTACTGAGGAATGCGCTTCTTTCATAGGCTTACCGCTTCTCTTTGCAGCCTCTTTTGCAATCCCGCTGTCAAATTCTTTTCTTAGCATGCTGTTTCCTGAAGCCTGACAAGCTGAAATGCCTGTCTTCACTTTGCCATGCCTAACTTTAGAGAAATGCAGACAGTTTGTCTTGGGCTTTAGGTGGTTACAGGTGACCATTTAACTCAGTGTCACTTACTGCAGTTTGCATGCAACCATACAGGCAACTAGTCGTCAGTTACATATAACCACATAGTTTCTTTTGTTACTTTCCTTTTTCTACCAGAGGGATTGTTATACTAAAATTGTGGTGGAAGAGATGTCCACCTTCTCTACATAGTTAACATACACACTACATTCAACAGCTGGGGGATGTACTGTCACCATTATTTAGATCAGTGGTTCTCAATCAGTGGGTCCCCAGATATTTTGGCTTTCAACTTCCAGAAATTTTAACAGCTGATAAACTGGCTGGGTTTTCTGGGAGATGTAGGCCAAAAGGCCAGGGGACCCACAGGTTGAGAACCACTGATTTAGATGCTTGGATGTTTTAAATCCTCCTTTTTATATTTAAATTCCTGTATAGTCCCTAAATTCTGACACTTTTCCAAAACATCATTTTGGATTATTAGAAATGTGCTACAAGCTTGCATTTCTCCTCATCTCATACCCTGTTCCCCATGTCCCAGAAGGTTTTTTCTCTAACTAATACATTGTCTCATCAACATCTGACAAGGCATGGATAACAATAGTCTTGATATACAACCATGTTTTCATGAATTTGCAAACCATGGTTTGACACATCATTGCAAATAGTGGTTTGAGCAATCTGAAAACAGGTGAGGGAATAAAACCAGCAAAAATATGCAACATGTTCCACACCATCGAAATCACCCAAACTGGTCCTATGCTTCTGTTAGATGTTTTAAAAACAATAATATTGTAGAACTCCAGCTACAGGTTCATATAGTATCTATGGACCAAAGACATAATCCTCTAGATCTTCATGTTCCACCAAATGTGAAATCATTGTGTTTTAAAGGTATCCGATGTCACCTAAAATAGTAAAAGCATATGCAAATAGTTTGCATCAAATCATGTCATGTGGTGCTGCAGCAATAGTACTGCCCATAGTGAAGTACTTTGCTATGTATTTGCCTGTAATAAAGTCAGCCTTGCACTCTTGGCTCTGCTGCTATCAGATTAAGCTCAGAGTCCGCAAATGTATGCAGGGGCATTCAATCAGACCATCTGTTTTCAGGTTAGGGCTGGTGTGGGGCAGACAGATTATACTGGCAAGTACAGGACTGAGCCTAGATTTGGAGAAAGTGAGCAGATGAGTAGCATGCCTGGTTTCATGGAGAGTACTGCTCCAAGAGCTCGTTTATTCTATTTGCATTATTCTGAGAAAATGTTTCAAGACCACTGCACCATCAATCCACATTGATGTTTCCTGCATTACAGTTACATGAATTAATCCTCATTGTGTTAGTGTAGCCTTTTTTGCTACTTTGGGGAAGTGTGGAGAAAAATGTAACAACATTCTCAATACTAGCTAAATGTGTTGTGCTTTTTAACATATTTTACAGAGATTAAATCCACACACTTACAGGAGAGAAAAGGTTGTCCAGTAGTTTAGATTCCAATAGATATGTTTTCTTTTTTAATGGTCTAGCACTGATAGCAATAAAACTGTGTATATGTGCCTTAAGGTTGCCTGTTGACTTGTGGCAACCCTATGAATTTCATGGAGTTTCTTAGGTGAGGAATAGTCAGAGATGGTTGGCCAATAGCAATAGGTACACAGTTCTTAATAATCCCAATGTTTTATTAAAACAGCTTTCATAGCTGTAGTAGTATTAGCAAAACAAATCATGCCTTAAAGGTTATGGATATTCTGTACCTATTGGACAAACCATGTGGTTCCCTTCCTTACCAAGTATAAGCAGTATACTCATTCTTAAAGGTAAAGGTTTCCCCTGACATTAAGTCTAGACATGTCCTACTCAGGGGGTTGTGCTCATCTCTGTTTCTAACCTGGAGAACTGGCGTTATCCATAGACACTTCCAAGATCATGTCATCAGCATGACTGCATGGAGCACCATTACCTTCCTGCAGAAGCGGTACCTATTGATCTACTCCCGTTTGCATGCTTCCAAACTGTTAGTTTGGCAGAAGCTGGGCCTAACAGCAGGAGCTCACCCTTCTCCCCGGGTTCAAACTGGCAACCTTTTGTTCATCAAGTTCAGCAGCTCAGTAGTTTAATTCGCTGCGCCACCATGGGGCCCATATACACATTCTTAAAATGGTTTTATTTTGTAGATGCAGAGAGTTTGCAGTAGCTACAAAGCGTATTTGTAAAACCACATTTAAAATCCATGTAGGGATAAAACAGTGTTGCTAGCCATTGTGGCATGGTGGTTTGGGTTTTGTGCTTCTCCAGGGTGTGTATCCCTGCTTGGCCATGAAAACCCACCGGGTGACCTTGAAATCACACAACAGTAAGAAAGTAGATAAATCTTTATTTGGCACACTTGCCAATGAATTAGCCCTTCTTCACCTTACTAAGGTTGAGGAGTCGGAAACATGATGTTCCTATATTTCTCATCCATAAGATGAAGAGTTTAAAAATGGCAATTCTAGTAGTGATGGGACTTCCACTGAACATGCTAAGTTAACTTAGGATATAAAGTCAGCTGAATTTTGATGGAGGATTGTTTTAAAAAATGAGATTGTGGGCATTCAGGATGTTCAGCCTTCTGCCAAGCCTTCTGGTTGTTTGCCAGCAGTGTGACCTGCACTTTCCTTCTAACCATCAGTGTGATTCTTGCCAACTGTGGATGCCCTCATCTAAATGGAAGACTTGCCCATTCAAAAGCACAGGTTTCTGAAAAAACCCACAAATCAGAAAAGGTGTTATTTGTCAACAAGAGAAAGCTATGACCTTAGAGGGGAAAATCTAGTATCTAACCAGCATTAGAACTAGTTATTTAAACAACCATTATTTAAACTGCTCTTAAAGAGGAGCTGGCTTTTAACTACCCCTCAGGACAGAAGCATGGTTTTGTGCAATCCAATGCCAGACCCTTTCAGGCAGCCATGTTTGGATTAGTGCCAACAAGCTTGTCACAAACCAAGAAAATTTGCCTGTCACAAACTGAGAAAACCAGAATCGGTAGCTGCTGACAGGATGAGGAGCCTGGGCGGGCATGGATTCGGGTGTTGGAGCCTTTCCATTTCTGGCCCTTGAACAATTTTAGCATGGCATGAGCATCAATATTGTGATAAGTTGGGTTGTTGTAAGTTTTTCGGGCTGTATGGCCATGCTCCAGAAGCATTCCCTCCTGACGTTTCACGTGCATCTATGGAAGGCATGCTCAGTGGTTGTGAGATCCTCTTTCTAACAGATCTCGCAACCTCTGAGGATGCTTGCCATAGATGCAGGTGAAACATCAGGAGAGAGTGCTTCTGGAATATGGCCATACAGCCTGAAAAACCTACAACAAATCAGTGATTCCAGCCATGAAAGCTTTCGACAATACATAGCGAGGTCACAACCTCTGAGAATGCCTGCCATAGATGCAGGTGAAATGTCAGGAGAGAATGCTTCTGGAATATGGCCATACAGCCCAAAAAACTCACAACAACCCGGTGATAGCGACCATGAATACATGTGATTAGTTGGCTTTGTTTGTTCAGACCCTCTTCTACGAAATAAGTGAAACATAGCATTATGATACCTCATTTATGTGTAATTCTTTGATTGGGATGGGTTGAGCAAAGTATCGGAATGAAGAGAAGTTAGGATGCAAATGAGTCTATTTATATAGGGTCTGCATTGATGGTCAAGCTAACAGGGAAGCAATGCACATTTGTTTTTATTTGGTTTTTTTTGCTTAAGGTTTGTCTTGTTTCTGTCATGTATGTCCTCTTTTTTTTAAAAAAATGAAAATGCATGTTTCTGTGACTCTCTTAGACTAGAGCTGCTACTTTTTCTGTTGTTGATTTGGAAGAACTAAATACTCTTTCCTTAGGAAGCTGTTTCAACCATTTCTGCTCTCAGCATCCTTTCTCCTGCACATCCTTATCACTTGCTCATTGCTCTGTATTCCTTAAAGAGCCTTGCTCTTTCTTTCATTCTCAGCCTCCCTCTCCCTCTCCCTCTCTCTCTCAATTGCACCCTCTCTCTGCTGCTGCTCCCCACCAGATTTTTTTCTGCTTCTTCCCATGCAGCCCACGCACCTCACCACTGCCAAGCAAGTAATCTAATTGCTTCATGTCTACTACTTGTTTGGCTACATGTTGCAGAGAAGAAACTATTTTTGGTTTCTTCTTTTTTGTCTGTATTATTTTTAAAGATAACTATCTCATATATACGCTCCAGGTGCTGTTACTCCCTTGTTGCTACTATATGCACTGGCCACAGCAAGAAGCCTTTACCCATTGGGCATTCCTTGTATATATTTCTACCATGAGATTGAAACTTGGTGGCTTTTAAGATAATTTTTTTATATTATTTCAAAAAAAAATTCTTGTCAAAGAGCAAACTGAGAGATGCTGCCACCCTATTTTGCTTTTTGAAGTTGCAAAATTTTTGCCTGTATGTTCATTATCATCATCTTTTTTTTAATTAAAGTTCATTTTCACAAACTAACCCTCTCGTTTTTGTTTGTTTTTTTTCCTTTCTCTTTTCTTCTCCGGTTTCCCTTCTCGTTATGGTAGACTGATCCTTGGTTATCATTGCAGAACTATGGCGGCGGAATGAGACCTCCACCCAACTCTCTAGGGCCCGGCATGCCTGGGATTAACATGTAAGGCATCTTCCGTGCTGCTGGCTTTTGATTTATGTTCCCTATATAAGGAAATAATTTCGGTTTCACTCTGTGTTTGCACTTTAGTGCAACATGTTCATACTAAAGACTTCTTTTTTTCTCAAACTCTAGGGGTCCGGGAGCTGGTAGACCATGGCCCAATCCCAACAGCGCTAACTCCGTAAGTGCCACCTCTGGAATGTCTCCTCTCTTGTCCCCTCATACTTTTTTTCCTGGCATACTTTGAGTTCCTCTCACTGAGATTATCTTGAAATGTGTTCTCCATTTCCTCTGTGTGCTGTTATCCTGATTCTCTGAAAAAATTCAGAAACAGAAGATCTGTGAAATGCAAAGGGTGGGTGTCGTATACAATGCCTCAGTCTCCTAGATAACAGGAATCATTGTAATTAGAAACTTGATTTGACAAATCTTGAGCAAAGCAGCCATTACCTGTAGGTATTTATCATTTTCTTGAAATGTTTGGGTTTTTTTTTCCAAAAAGTAATTTCAGCATTCTGCTCTGTTTATAGATTCCATACTCTTCTTCATCACCTGGTACATACGTGGTAAGTTCATGTTTCTTCAGGGTGATAATGCACTAATATGTTGTATGATGACATGTTTTTGGAATGTGTATGTATGAATAAGCATCCTTGATCATAATAATAATAATAATAATAATAATAATACACTTTATTTATATTCAGCCCATCTCTCCTAGGAGACTTAGAGTGGATTACAGCATATAGAGCAGACATAGGCAAACATTCAAAGCCTTACAATCACATACAATGAGGCACACAAACACAAACAAAGGCAAAGGCTTCTTCTTTCATTTCTGGCTTCTTCACTTCACTTCACTTTATTTATTAATTAGTCGCTCTCCACCAAGGTGCTCCGAGCAACTTACAATTTAAAATAGCATTTACACAATATAAAACCATTCAACATAAAAACATACAACAGTGGCAGATTAGATCTGATCACTTTACTTAAATGCACAACTGGAGGCAGTGCTCGTCTCTGGCTCTGGGAGAGATATTTTTTCTCCCATTTCCAAGTTGAGGAGTGACCAGCAAGACTGCTTGGGGCATCTTTTTGCCGTTTCCTGCCGAAGAGTTACCTATTTATTTACTCACATGTGCATGTTTTCGAACTGCTAGGTTGGCAGGAGCTAGGGCTAACAGCGGGAGCTCACCCTGTCCTGCAGATTCAAACTGCCAATCTTCAGGTCAGCAGTTCAGCAACACAAGGGTTTAATCCATTGCACCACTGCGGACCCTATAAATAATCTAATCTAATATAAAGTATGTGCATTGTAACATCCTTCCATGTTGTGTATGTATTCCTAGAATAACACAGGAATATTTGTATTTTGAGAACTCTTGGTATAATTACTGAAATGATATGATGATGGTGGGAGCTAAATCTGCAAAGGCCCTAAATATCCTCAAGCCACCAAATCTCATCTGATTTTGGAAGCTAAGTTGGGTCAGCTCTGGTTAGTACTTGGAAGGAATATACCCAATAAATACCAAGTGCTGCAGACTATGTTTTGGGGGAGGAAAAACTACCTCTGAGTATTCCTTGCCCAAGAAAATCCTATGAAATTCATGGGTTCGCCATAAGTCAACAGACAACAGCACATATTGTCACACGTAGCATGCTGTAGTTGTTTTTTTTTATGTAGTGTTGGTAATTAGTGGTTCCCGTGGGCTCTTAACTGGACTGGAATAAAATCATTTCATTAATCCACCAAAGCAATATGACAAAGCATTCCAAGTTGCCCTCTTTGCATCTTCAGCCCATGCGAAGGGTATTGAAAGAATACCCCGTTACATCCCTGGCAGAGAGACATCGTTGTGTGTGACTCTTGCACAGAGACGCCCTCGCTGTCTCTCCATAAAAACCTTCATTTTTCCTGAGGCTTTAAACAAAGAAATTGCACTTTGGCTACAAGAGTGCATTGAAGGTTTTAGCAGGAGATTAATGCTTGGCTGAATACCAAGGTGAGACATTGTTGCTGACAGCAGCAGGATTTGGCTGACCTATTGCAGGTTATGTTATCACACCAGTTCCTGATGTGTATTTAATCTTGTCAACAGGGGCCCCCTGGCGGCGGAGGTCCTCCTGGAACACCCATCATGCCTAGCCCTGCAGGTAAGCGGAGGGACATGCCAGCCCTACATTTTCCCCCATCTAATATAAATAAAAGAGCCCTGAGATAGGTGTGCACTCACTTCTTTTGTTGTTGGATTTGATTTCAAATGGCAGGGTAATGTTTTGCATGCTGCTGGAGCCCTTTCAAACAGCTGCACACAATCAATAATCAAACTGACTCTTTTGAAAGCGATGTCGGGGGGGGGGGGGGTTGGCTGGGTTTTGCCTCCTTCCCTTCCCTCCCAGCTCTGTGCTGATGGATTGCATTCTCTTGGCGCTTAAAGAGGGGGGAGTCTCCCCGCAGGAGTGTGAAAAATGGGGTTAGGGCGGGATTCGCCCATGCCGCCAGCCTTTCCAGATTAGTCGGAGGCATCAGCTTTCATATTTGCATCGCATTTCAGCCTTGACCCTCCTTGTAAACTCTGTGAAAGATATTCTGTTTACTTTGATCAACAATCCTTAGGAAATTCTACTCTTTGGGATGGCTGTGCCTTTTTTAAAAAATACCTTTTATCTTAAAGTCCAGTGCTTAGACCAGGTATGGGCAAACTTAGACCCTCCAGGTGTTTTGGACTTCAACTCCCACCATTCCTAGCAGCCTCAGGTGCCTTCCTTTTCCCCCTGCCGCTTAAGCGGCTGAGGGGGGAAAGGAAGGCACCTGAGGCTGCTAGGAATGGTGGGAGTTGAAGTCCAAAACACCTGGAGGATCCAAGTTTGCCCATGCCTGGCTTAGGCCATAGACAATTTGCATACAAAATAAATACAGTATAAAAGTACAACAATATAAACTTCCTACCTATAATAATTGGCATTTGTATCTTGCACATTCAATTAAGTAAAGTAAAAAGTAAAATACATTAAATATAAACAACAATAGTAAAATTTAGAATAGATACGAACATCTCCAGAGTGATCAGCAGCTATGTATTGTCGAAGGCTTTCGTGGCTGGAATCACTGGATTGTTGTAAGTTTGTAAGTTGTAAGTTGTAAGTTAAGGCTGTATAGACATGTTTCAGAAGCATTCTCTCCTGATGTTTCGCCTGCATCTATGGCAATAATCCTCAGAGGTTGTGAGATCTGTTGGAAAGAGGACCTCACAACCTCTGAGGATGCCTGCCATAGATGCAGGTGAAATGTCAGGAGATAATGCTTCTGGAACATGGCCATAAAGCCCAAAAAACGTACAACAACCCAATCAGCAGCTATATCAGCAATACATTTGATTTGGATTATCATTGCTGCCTGGGCAAAAAGAGAAACCTTTGCAAGTTCCCATAGGATTGATAACACAAGGAAGATAAAAAATCTTTTCTGACACATGATTGGGAGTGTGTATAAGACAGAACAGAACTCAAGAATTTGGTTTTTCGTTCCAAATATAATAAAACTGGGCAACTTGGAAGGCGCTGGACAGGCTGTGTTCTGGCACCATGAGATGCAAAGCCAACCTTAAGAAATGGGGCCACAAAGTGGAGTTCACGACATGCGAGTGTGGAGAAGAGCAAACAACAGGCCACCTATTACAATGCAGTCTGAGTCTTGCCACATGCACAATGGAGGACCTTCTTATAGCAACACCAGAGGCACTCCAAGTGGCCAGCTATTTGGTCAAAGGACATTGAATAGAATGCCAAGTTTGCAAACTTTGTGGGTTTTTGTTTTTGTTTTAAATACAATACAAATGTTTGGTTCACTCCTGATATGATAAATAAATATGTTAATCGATAAGAGGGCAACCATATTTTCGGAGATTTATTTATTTGTTTATTTGCATTATTTCTACCCCGCTCATATCAGCCCGAAGGCGACTCAGAGCGGCGTACACAATCGGCACCATTCGATGCCATAAAAATACATACATTGATAAACAAAAAGAACCATTATAGTGCAATTAGACATAAGACAGTGCATAATAACAATATTAAAAACTAAAAACTATATCCTCTCATTCAAGTCCTTATCCGTTCCATCGTCTTGGGACGTTCCTGGGTTGTGAAAAGAAATCAAGACACAACTTCTTTGAAAAGTACCCTCATACACCCTCATACACCTTCCCCTCAACCTGCTCCAGACTGTTCTATTCTTTACTTCTATTGGGTAACCCAACATTAGCCGAATGCCATTCTGCCCGATCTGTAACGTGAATATACACAGGGTGGTTTCTGAATTTGCAAAACTGTGCTCACTGAAGTGAACGCACTTCCTCCACACACACACATGCACATCCCTCCTCAGGAGGCTATGTAAATTCCCTCTTCCTCCTCTTTTCCTAGTAGTAAAGGGGAGGAGGAAGAGAAAGAGAGTGTCAGTGTTGTGGCTGGTGAATTTTCCTGACAGGCCTGCAGGGGTGATTTACTACACATTGTATGTGTCAGTGGTAAGAAGAAAGGGTTTGGGGAGGGGGGCGGGCTCTGGGGAGTTAGCCATGCTGCGTGTAATGGTGGTATACCACAGCTGCAGGGGTGGAGCTATGGCGTGATATTACTCCTGCCTTCCCGCTCCTGCATTTTTATGAGAACTCTGACCTACATTTCAGACTAGGTCATAATAAAACAGTCCATATGTTAATGCAGGTCTTCCCATATTTTTTAAAAATCTGTTACTGAGGCCTGCTTCTAATTTCTGTGAAGGTTTGCATTCTGTTGCTTGATTTAAACCCCGTTGTGTCTCCTACTAGAGGAGAGGAGCTGGCTTCCTTCTTAAAAAATGAAATGGAGAGATGTCACGCATGGAATGTTTTTGTTGCGCACACACACCCACAAAATCCAATACTATAGTAAGCTAATTTGCATTGGCTAATTTTGAGTTGTCAAGTGACACATGGCAGAATGTTATCTCCCCAGATCTCTCCTGATAAGAAAGCTCCCGAATCCTGGGCTAGTGGCAGAATCCTTTTCACACTTGAATTTCTGTGATTAAAAACTTTGTGAATCTTCATTAAATACAAATTAGCCAGAAAATGGTGGTACTTAAGAGAGAATTTTAGGTGATAAAATACAAAAGAATGAGTTCAAGTGGCATGAGTTTGTTTTAATTAAGAAATGAATTAATCACCCTGACTTAGTGGGTTTCACTGTTCTACAGATTCGACAAATTCAAGTGACAACATCTACACAATGATTAATCCCGTACCGCCTGGAGGCAGTCGGTCGAATGTAAGTCTGCTTTCTAATAATTTACATATCAGATACCATAACAAATCATAATTAACTTCATCAGTTGAGGGTAAAGCAGTTTAATTGATTTCAGCCATTTGTTACAAAACAGAAATAAAACAAACCATCAAAAAGTGATTAACTCTTCAGCGACTTTGTTAATTTCTTACGCTTATTAAAACAGCGGCGTTCATGCGGCGCTGGTCAAGATTGTGTCACACATACACTGCTGGATAATAGGGTTGCATTTAAAGGAGAGACTGCTTAAGCTTAGGTCCTACTTGCATCTTTAATTGGGGCTAATTAGAAGGGATGCTACTGAAGATTCCCTGCAAGAGTTTTCAGGAAGCTTTGCAGTTATTTCATGCTTTCTTCAGCATATTCAGCTTCAGGATTTGGGGAGCCCTTGAACAAGGCGGCTCTGGCTCAGAACAAGAGGGGAGAAGTAAGCAGATGCTCATAGGATCCTAGAGTTGGAAGAGACCTCGTGTGCCATCCAGTCCATCCCCCTACCAAGAAACAGGAAAATCACATTCAGAGCACCCCTGACAGATGGCCATCCAACCTCTGCTTAAAAGCCTCCAAAGAAGGAGCCTCCACGACACTCTGGGGCAGAGAGTTCCACTGCTGAACAGCTCTCACAGTTAGGAACTTCTTCCTAATGTTCAGGTGGAATCTCCTTTCCTGTAGTTTAAAGCCATTGTTCCACGTCCTAGTCGTCCAAGTTTTCTCCCTCCTCCCTATGACTTCCTCTCACATACATGGCCATCATGTCTCCTCTCAGCCTTCTCTTCTGCAGGCTAAACATGCCCAGCACTTTAAGCCTCTCCTCACAGAACTTGTTCTCCAGACCCTTCATTCTTTTAGTCCCCCTCCTCTGCACACATTCCAGCTTGTCAACATCTCCCTCCAATTGCATATTCCAGAATTGGACACAGGTGTAGTCTGACCAAGGCAGAATAGAGGGGGAGCATGACTTCCTTGGATCTAGACACTATACTCCTATTTATGCAAGCCAAAATCCTATTAGCTTTTTTAGCTGCCATATCACATTGTTGGCTCATGGTCCTTCTGATTTGCTGAGGAACCCATGATGAACAGGTACCTGTTGAAGTTAGCAGTAATAGCATGGACAGGGGGCTCCTGGGGTCCTTGTCAAGAAATGGGCCAAAGCAGTGACAAAAACGAGAGAAGGGGCCACAGGTTTGCTTTTCAGGATCAACCAACATGGTCATAATACATTCTTGTGCATATTCGTCAGAAGAATCTGGACCCTACCAACTGCTTTGTCATTAAGATATAAGAGGGCTTGATGTGACCAATAGGACAAGCATCACTACCTTGATAATGGGTAAAACAACCTTTTGTCTATGTCTCAGAAAACCTCATCTTGTAGTAGTAGGGGTGGGCTGGGGTGAGAACATTAATCCCCAAGTAATATTTCTGGTCTCCAATAAAATGTTCCTCCCCTCTCCGAATGTCTGACATTTCAAAGTGTGAAACATTGAAATGCTCTTATTGGCTTAGTAACTTTGCCTCTGTCTTGGATGCTAATCTGCATGTTGGAATGCTCAACCGAATTTTTAAGTTTGTGTAATGCTAGAAATTTGGAAACTGAAAATGTCTTTAGAGTCATAGGTGGAAGAGACCACAATGGCCATCCATTCCAACCCCTGCCATGCAAGAAAATTACAATCAAGGCACCCTTGATAGATGGTCATCCAGCCTCTGCTTTAAAAACTCCTGGTTTTAATTTGGGTGTTCAAAGTTTTTAATGGTGGAGAGGGTATGCCCTTTGTCCTCTCTATAGGACTACTGGAGCCCCCAGTGGTGCAGTGGGTTAAACTGCTGAGCTGCTGAACTTGCTGACCAAAAGATTGGTGGTTTGAAGGCAGGGAGTGGGGTGAGCTCCTGCTGTTAGCCCCAGCTTCTGCTAACCTAGCAGTTTGAAAACTTGCAAATGTGAGTAGATCAATAGGTATCGCTCCAGCGGGAAGGTAACAGCGCTCTATGGAGTCATGCAGGCCACAATGCCAGCTTTTCGACTTAGAAATGGTGATGAGCACCACCGCCCAGACACAAGTAGACTTAAGGGGAAACCTTTACGTTATAGGATTACAGTCCTCTGTTATTAGGAGGTTGAATTTATGCAAGAGGTGTCCAAAGAAATATATGACTGCTAGAAAGAAAATTTGGGACCCAGAATGAGGCTGGAGACTGTTATTGCAGGACTTCATAGATGTTACAAAATCTATTTCTCACCACTGTCTAATGAAAGACCTTCAAGGAACCCTGGGAGAAAGGTAGGGATACAATAAATGGCTTGAGCCCTGAAGGAATCGAAACTGGCAACTGAAGCGTTTTGGCAGATGGCATTTCAAAGCCCGAATTTGTCATGCTATTTAGAACTCTCTCTCTCTCTAGTCTTGAGCTTCTTCAGTTTCCAAGTGAACATGAAGCTGAAGATTGCCCAAATGCATCCAACGCAGCTGCTTAACATCACCGGAAAACAACATATCACACACAAGGATACACACACACAAGTACAGGTGGTGGCAAAATTGTTCCAGCTGCTAGCACCACCGAAAAATACATTGGAGGATATGAAATAATGTAGAATGTATATCACAGTGCTGGGCATATGCCTTGAAACAACATTGGAAGCACAGATGCCTTGTAATTACTTGGGTTCTGTTTAGCTGTTTCCTTTATTTTAGACTAAAGAGTTCCAGACAGCTTCTTCTCAGAGTTCAAGCTGCCTGTGGAGCTTGTCGAAGAGAGAGCATTCTGCTCCATTTCGATTTGAGAGATTGTACCCAATGGGCAGTGATGGATTCTCAGCACAAATTTTGAAGGCTGCAAGATCTGTTTTCAATACCTGACCTGTCTACATAGAATATAATCAATCACATATTTATATTTCAACTGAACTAACTGTGTCATTTCTCCTTTCACAGTTCCCAATGGGACCTGGATCAGATGGCCCAATGGGAGGCATGGGTGGGATGGAACCCCATCACATGAATGGCTCATTAGGTAAGAACGCAGAAAATACTTAAGAGAGGCGGTTTTGGAAGATAGTCGTTGTTAATAGGAAACTCTACTTTGGGGGATATTTGCAGATTCTGTGGAAATGGAAAAAAAAGTATAGATCCACAATGTATGATCTAAGCATATAGGCGAGCAATAAAAAACAGCTGTTGCCATTTACTTTTATTTTGGTATCTGGAAGAAAATACTGCATTATGTTACTGCACAATTCTGGGTTTTTGGCTGAGGAGTGAATATGTGGTCTCTGGAACAGTTGTTTTATATGTAACCAAAATTTGGTGGGGGTGTTTTGGGGAATCTCGGAGGAAGCTAAGATGTGTTGTTGGATTGTAGGAGAGTTCAGAGATAATGTTTCTGCATAATACTTTGTGCCTGGTGGTGCATTGGGTTAAACCACTGAGCTGCTAAGCTTGTTGACCGAAAGGTTGCAAGTTCAAATCCGGAGAGCAGCGTGAGCGTCCACTGACAGCCCCAGCTTCTGCCAACCTAGCAGTTTGAAAACATGCAAATGTGAGTAGATCAATAGGTACCGCTCCAGTGGGAAGGTAACAGCGCTCCATGCAGTCATGCCAGCCACATGACCTTGGAGGTGTCTACAGACAATGCCAGCTCTTCAGCTTAAAAATGGAGATGAGCACCAACTCCCAGAGTCGGACACGACTGGACTTAATGTCAGGGAAAACCTTTACCTATAGTGACAGAAGTTGTGGAAAATGTAAAGCCACAGATGCCTGGCATTGTGGTGAAAAAAATGTAAGAGATTGGCATAACACAGACTGTAGAGCAGGAACATCTGCCCCAAATGGCACATGACCAACTTTCATATTGGAGAGCCCAGTGGCTCAATGTCTGAGTTCCTCTACAGAGGTTGAGAAGATCGGGATATAAAAGTTTAAAATAAATAAATAATAATGTGTTAAGCCCTTGTGTCGGCAAGACTGAAGAATGACAGGTCGGAGATTAGACTCTTGGGAGAACGCGGATGAGCTCCCTCTGTCAGCACCAGCTCCCCATGCAGGAACATGAGAGATGGTGAAACATCAAAACATCCAGGCATCCCCTGGGCAATGGCCTTGCAGATGGCCAATTCTCTCACACCAGAAGCAACTTGCAATTTCTCAAGTCGCTCCTGACATGAAAAAAAAAACCTTTCATAGTAATGGAAGCCTGTTTCTTTTGATGCCTGCTTTCTGACTGCAGAATCTATGGGTCTCTGCTTATTGGCTGTTGCATGGTTCTGGGTTTTGTCTTGTTTTGTAGTGGTGCTGTTTGAGGTGTTGATAACCCTGATACTATCAGGATGACCTAGCCATTTCAAACCCTAGCAACACAACAAGAGTAGCCAGGGAGCAGAGACTCCTAGTCGCTGGCTTGGCAGGCTCCTGTTGATGGATAAAGGGGAAGAAGCAGCATGAACCTAACTCTGGTGGTGTGTGTGTTTTAATTAAAGCAGCAGAAAGACCCATTAACCTCCTATGCTTGCCTTATACATCTTGCTGAAGTAGAGGTGCTGTGCTCCATCTTGATCAGTGTCACGAAGCTCACGGGAGGGAGTCGAGGCCGTAGCAACTCGATTAGGCCATTACTCTAGTGCCGTGCAGGAAGGTGAGCCGGGCTCTGCTCCCGGGACTTCTACATGCAAAGGAATGGCAGCTGAGGCTTTCCCAGCATGTCCCTTTCTGGAGGCAAATGTTAAGAGGTTTGCATTAGCCCAGCTGTGACCTGCAGCTCACTAATGTACTACCAGCTGCTTCCCGGAAGGACCAGCCGTAGTAACTTCATGGAGCAGCATCTTCTTTCTGGATGAGAGTTCAGGAGCCAAATGCGTCAGTACAGAGTGGGGAGGCTAGTTGAAGGGGGAAAAACAACCCTCTAATTTTAGAGCAAGCCAATGTAATTCTCCCGACTAATTGCTTACCTTTTGGGGTTTTCTTATACTAGGGTCAGGAGACATAGATGGACTTCCAAAAGTAAGTATTCATTTTTGCTAGATATGTTTGCCTACTCTTTGGGTTTGCTTTAAAGAACTACATGTCAAGTGTTATAGGAGACAGGGATGGGGGCTGGAAGGAGTACAGAAACTCTGGTTGAGATAGGGTGAGAAGACTTTACCAAAAAGGCTGGTATTGTCTTCTGCTCTAAATTCAGCATTTTTGCTGTCAGTTCTGTGAGACAGTCAAAAAGTTCACTAATTTGTATCTTTTGATTTTTTCCCCATTGTATACAGCAGTGATTCTCAGCCTTTGTAATGCCGTAACCCCTTAATACAGCTCTTCATGTTGTGTTGACCTCCTACCATAAAATTATTTTTGTTGCTACTTCACAACTGTAATTTTGCTACTGTTATGAATCGTAATGTAAAGATCTGATATGCAGGATGTATTTTCATCCACTGGATGAAATTTGGCACAAATACCCGATACGCCCAAATTCAAATACTGGTGGGGTTGGGGGGATTGATTTTGTCATTTGGGAGTTGTCGTTGCTGGGATTTATAGTTCACCTACAATCAAAGAGTTTTCTGAACTCCACTAACAATGGAATTGGACTAAACTTGGCACACAGAACTCCTAAGGCGAACAGAAAATACTGGAAGGGTTTGGTGGGCATTGACCTTGCATTTTGGAGTTGTAGTTCGCCTACATCCAGAGAATACTGTGGACTCTGGACCAAACTTAGCACGAGTCCTCAGTATGCCTAAATGTGGACACCGGTAGAGTTTGGGGAAAATAGACCTTGACATTTGGGAGTTGTAGTTGCTGGGATTTATAGTTAACCTACAATCAAAGAGTATTCCGAACTCCACCGACGATGGAATTGAACCAAACTTGGCACACAGAACTCCCATGACCAACAGAAAATACTGGAAGAGTGTGGTGGGCATTGACCTTAAGTTTTGACGTTGTAGTTCACCTCCATCTAGAGAGCACTGTGGACTCAAACAATGATGGATCTGAACCAAACTTGGCATGAGTATTCAGTATACCCAAATGTGAATGCTGGTGGAGTTTGAGGAAACTAGACCTTGACATATGAGAGTTGTAGTTGCTGGGATTTATAGTTCATCTCCAAGGAGCATTCTGAACCCCACCAACAATAGAATTGGGCCAAACTTCCGATACAGAACCCCCATGACCAACAGAAAATACTGTTGTTTTCTGATGGTCTTTGGCGACCCCTCTGACACCCCCTCACAACCCCTACCCAAGTGGTCCCCGCCCTCAGGTTGTGAAACGCTGGTATAGAGGTTTAGTATGCACATTGTGGAAAGGCAGCTTCTCACTTCTTGTGTGTATTATCTTTGGTCTGTTTTTTCTCTTTTTCCTTAAACCTTAGAATTCTCCAAACAACATAAGTGGCATTAGCAATCCTCCAGGCACTCCACGAGATGATGGTGAACTGGGAGGCAACTTCCTCCATTCCTTCCAAAATGACAATGTGAGTCATTCTTACAGCAGCTCCTTCTGCTAACAGGGTCTGAATCATGGAATCTCAGAAGGCTCTTTTTAAGCTCTTCCTGGGGAAGAATTGTTGATCTGCCCAAGGAATGATGACGTATTGGGTATACGTAGGTGCTCTGGGGCTATTTAAAGTTATTTAACTTTTAAAGCTTTACTTTCTTTGCATCTAGAGCAGTGGTTCTCAGCTTGTGGCTCCCCAGATGTTTTGGGCTGCAACTCCCAGAAATCCCAGCCTGTTTACCAGCTGTTAGGATTTCTAGGAGTTGAAGGTCAAAACATCTAGGGAGACCCACAGTCTAGAGACTGTTTTTGTGGGGGGGGGGAGGGGAGGATTTGTGACTCCACTAACCTGTTTTAGGCCCAGAAGCGACCATGTTTTAAAAGCTCTCCCTCTAGCCTGAAACAGTTCTTGGGGGGCAAAAATTTGGCAAAATTGTGTCCCCCATGGCCCAGCAGAGGTGACTTTTTCTGATAAATAAGTATTTGCCTTGGAAGGTGGTGTGAGGGCACAGATACTCAGGATGCCCTTTGCCCTCCTCTACTGTGAGACCCGGAGTTGTCTGAGTAGATCTTAAAGCTGCCCTTCTGTTTGGCATAATCTATAGATATGCCCTTGTGCTTGATGATTTTAGAATCAAAAGTTAGAAAGGAACACCATGAAGGGTTAGGAAACTAGCATGCCTATTTTCTTTTAATTTAATTTGTCCATTCAAGAGGACCTGATCCATCCCAAAATTGGTTTGTTTAAGCCTGAAGAAAATAGTAAAAAAAAAAAAAACCAGTAAAAATGATGCTTGGTTTTGCAAAATGACACTTAGAGATCAATGTGTGTCTCTTTTAGAAAAGTGTTAATTTTGCTTTTCTTCTCTGACAGAATTCACGATCAAATAACATGCAAAAAAATTTAAAATTGGAGCCCCTGGTGGCGCAATGGGTTAAACTTTGTGCCGGCAGGGCTGCTGACCCAAAAGGTTGGCGGTTTGAATCTGGGGACAGGGTGAGCTCCTGTCTGTCAGCTCTAGCTTCTCATGCAGAGACATGGGAGAAGCTTCCCAAAGGATGGTAAAACATTCTGAACCTCACCAACGATAGAATTGGGCCCAACTTCCCACACGGAACTCCTGTGACCAACAGAAAATACTGTTCTTTCTGAGGGTCTTTGGCGACCCCTCTGACACCCCCTCGCAACCCCCCCCCCCCCCGGGGTCCAAACCTTAGGTTGAGCAGTGTAGATTTTACCACATACTGCTTTGTTCCATGTCACCCCACCCCAGTCACTGGCAAATGGCGGTTACGGATTGGGAATGATTATGCCTCGATAAATTAGTCTCGAACATATTCTCGCTCTCTGATTTATTGGAGCCAATTATGTTGCTTTATCGTTTTCATAAGCCCACTTCTCCTTCGTATCCCATTTCCTCTGCTTCCGCAGCATTTAGCATTTTGGTCTTGTTCCTGCCTCGTTCTTACGCTGTGATTTCTGTTTCTCTCCTCCCTCCCTCCCTCCTTCCCCTCCTGGGCCCAGTACTCTCCCAGCATGACGATGAGTGTCTGATTTCCCTCCTCCTTCACCCCACATCCTCTTCTCCAGGATAAAGAAAAAGTCGGCTGCCATTTGGAGGATCTCAAGAAATTATGCAAGAAGAGAAGCTAGGTGTGTGTGTTTGGCAGGGAGACCTCCAGAGCCGGGGACCCACCCCCTGAATTTTTTGGTTTCATGCAATAAAAAGGCTGAACTTTTTATTCCATAAAACAATGAAGGACAAATCTTTAAAAAATATTTCAAGACAAGACAAGATCCTTCTTCTTTCTGCAGAAGGGTTTATTCTATGTACATGACACTTTTTTTGTTGTTGATTTTTTGGAAAGCAAAACGAAAGCCTCTCTAGCACCCCAATTCCAACCTCCTTTGCTTGATTATTCTTTCAAACCTGTTGTATGTTTGTGCTGTGCTACGCAAGGAAGCTAGTCTAGGTATGAAATCTCATGTTGTCTCTGTAGCCATTGAAAAATAAAATAAAATAAAAACTGGACAGGTTTTTTTTTAAGAAAAGAAGAAATCGGTGGGGTGTGTTCAGAAGGCCTTTTCCCTTCCCTCGGCCCCAATTCTTTTTTGTTTGTTTATTTGGTTCGTCTTTCTCAGTTCGGTGTTTTTGCAGCACAACGCTTTTCTCCAGCGGGAAGATCCAAATGGAAAAAGAGAATTTCTCTGCCTCATTCTCAGTTGTAGAATGCAGTTGGTCCCCTTGTAGGATCACATCCTCCAGAAATACGATCCTTACCTTGATATCTGTGACTGTGGCATGCACTGTATTAGCCCTTCCTCCCCAAAATTGCAAAGATGTGTTATGAACTGACCTTTTTTTTCTTCAAAACTGCAAGAAAATCCCATAGGGTGGGTGGGATGGGTTGGGGATTGGGGTTTGGGGGGATTTTTTAAAAAACAAAAAACCGATAGGGAGGTATCAGTTCACCAGAAATGAAAAGAAAAAGGCGTTAAAACTTGACCTGGGACTCTAAAACTGTGAGCGCAAACTTCTTAACATCTGTTCTGTTTTTTGTTTATGTTTATGTTTGGTTAGTTTCAATGAAATGATGTGATCTTATTAGGGTTTCACTGTATATGCTCTGGAACTGGATGGAGATATTTTTAAGTAATTATTGTTGTTAAAATGTATACTTGCTATTCTGTAGGCTCTCTCTCCCTCCTTCCCTCCAACTCTGTAATTAAAAACAAAACTTTAAAAAAAGCCACAACCTTACCTTCTCATGGTAGAGGTGACTACAGAAAAGCATACCATGTATAGTGAAACTCGCAAGTCTTGGGATCTCTGTACATTACACTCCCTTGTAGCTGGTCTTTGTTTTATATAAAAAGGAGAGAAAAAAAACCCTTCACTTCTGATCTATGTATTTCATATTATGTAAAATATTATCCTCCCCTGGATTTACCTACCTTTGTGCGGATTCTTGAGAACATTGTATCTTGTTTCAGTGTTTTTTCTTACCTTGTAGTCTGGTTCTAAAATTTAAGCGAGGGAAAAGAAAAGTAATTATTATACATTGTAGTTTGTGTACGATATTTGTTGATAATGTTTTATTAAAGGGATGTCTTTTTTCCGCACCCCTTAACGAAATGTTTTTGGTTTCGTTTTGTTTTTTGAGGTTTTTTGGGAAACATTGGCTTGTTTTTACTCTTGACTGAAGAAGAAGAAAAAAGAAACGACAAAACCCTGTGATTGGACAAAAAAGTTTTTTTAGTATTACATTTTTAAAACAAGTTTGCCTTTTTCTTGGGCATTTTAACAGCGCTTTCCTTGTAGAAAGGTGATGGGGGGAGGGAGGGGGGCAGTGGTCAGTCTCACAGTTACAGTAACTAAGATATTATTTAAAGGGAAACAACCCATCAAATCAAGATTCCTTCCATTACTAAGGCAGCAGCACCCTTTCTATTTTTTTAAGGGATAACTGACAGGTTTCATTGTATTGAAGTGATAGCTAAATTATTGTCTTCATTGGTTCAGGATGGTTTTTGAAGAACGAATCCAGATCCTCCTCCTCTCTCTCTCTTCCTCCCCATGCTGTAATAAATATAAACATTTGATTTCAGTCCGTTGCTCTTCATTACTGGTGATTTGCTGTAAAACCGGTCTTTCGCTTCTCACGGCTTTAGTGATTTTATAAGCTTTGATGTAGTTTGTCATTGGTAGCATTCTTATGACTTCTCAGCAATGGTTGCAACTCATCGTCTGTTTCAAAAGTTCTCACTGTATCAAATGTTTGGGCTAGTTTCACATTCCTTTTAAGACGGAGGTTCACAACTTGTGGGTCCCCAGATGTTTTGGCCTTCAACTCCCAGGAATCCTAACAGCTGGTAAACTGGGTTTTCTGGGTGATTTAGGCCAAAACACCTGGACACCCACAGGTTGAGAACCACTGTTTTAAGATGTCCACAAATTCAGGCAAACCGTCTTCACACAAAGAAGGATAACTAGAGAATTGTTTAATGTCTATGAATTTCTGACAAGCTTGAGTAGAATAAGTTCTTCTTGTGGGTGCTTTTTTTTGGGAGGAAGGTCTTCTGACTGGCCTTAAATTTGAACTAGAAAGACTTGTGGTCTGATCTACAGAGTTCTCTTTATTTTCATATTGGCTCCTTGAAAGGCTTCAAGAAAGATTTATAGGTTGAGTATTCCTTATCTGAAATGCTTGGGACCAGAAGTGTTTTGGATTTTTTTTTCATTTTTTCATATTTCATATTTTGAAATAGATATCTTGGAGACTGGACCCAAGTTTTGTATACCACAGCTTCTTAAACTGTGGGTCCTGACCCCAAATCGGGTCACCTTAGCTCAATGTTGGGGTCACAAAATATTTGGCAACAGTAAAAGGTAAGTAAAAGGTTTCTGAACGTCACCAAATGTGTAGACATTTGTACAAATCCGTTGTTCAGTGTTTACTTCTCAGAAAATGGTTCAGCTGTACTGTAAGCCAGTTTGTTATCAGTAAATGTTTGATTTTATATCTACTTTATGTACCCGAATACACATAAAAAATTATCAGGCAAAAAGGGGTCATGAGTCATGAGGGGTCATGAGTGGAAAAAGTTTAAGAAGGTATATGCAACTGGCATATACACCTTATATACATAAACTGGCACATACAGCTTATACACATAGTATGAAGGTAATTGTATAATATTTTAGTAATGTTGCAATGAAGCTAAGCCTGTGTTCATAGAATTATCAGAAAGCAAGGTGTCGTTATCTTGGCCACCTACGTGAAAAATTTGGGATTTTGGAATATTTCCGTTTCAGAATTCCGGATACTTAACCTGTATTCGTTATTTCCTTTGAAATGATAAGTGTGAGGGAGCAAGGGCAAGAACCGTGCCTCACAAATTTTTAAGGTACCCAGGGTCATCTAGTGCAGGGCTTCTAGGACTTTTCCCACTTGCAACCCTTCTCCACTTGAGTAATTTTTACATGACCCCATATAAAATAGGTACTTTTCTATGAAGTACAGCTGAAGCATCTTCTGCAGAATCCACTGTAAACACAGATACTAAAACAGCTACTAGGTGTTCGGCAGAAACTTTTTACTGCTGCCAATTTTTTGTGATCCCAACACTGAACTAAGGAGGTCCCATTTGGGATCGGGGCCCACAGTCTAAGAAGCAGTAATCTAGATTACTAAAACAAGGTGTGCACCTTTAAGTCAGGACACATTGCTTACCATATAAATCAGTGGTTTTCTATCTGTACTATCCAAAATTAGCACATGAAATTGCTCCTATAGTTAGAAAAATTCAATGCACATGAAACCAAATTACCCATGGCATGAAATGATGGAGTAAGGGTGTTCCACATACTGCCAGGATTAGATTTCCAAGAGAGTAACATCTAGTCCCAGTGCAAAACATACATTGATGACTGTGGAACACAGACTTTATTTATTAACATATCAGTATAAGTGGTGTGACTACTGATTGAGATTTATGTCATTTCTCCATTTCGTGTTCCAACATGGCATTTCTTATGTTTTTACTTGCTTTAAATTTTTATACACTTTCAGGGACAGTGCACCGTTTGCTAGCCAATATATTTACCTCATGTGAATTGGCACTCCCATTGTGCTTCCTGTTTTCAAGCTCTTTGCATTAAGAAAAGCCAAAAAGTGGCCAGTGATCCAACAGTCTTTTCACCCACAACTAGTGTTACTTTTGACAGAATGCCATTTTACATACATGTGGATTTTCTAATGTATTACATCTTGAAAGAAACTACACATTCCTGAAGTTCAATACTAATTCAGGCAAGAGACAAGGAGCAAAGAAGTTGACAGGTGCTCCTGAAATAAACTTGTAGCTGTTACTCAGAGTAAGAACTTCAAGCCTCTTGACTGTATAACTTTTAGAATGGAATGGCTAGGCTGGTTGATTTGGATGCTGTAGTACAAAAAAAGTAACTTTTCCATATTGCAAAAATATTTCGGTTTTTGCACTAAGCTCAATGTATATGTCAACATTTAATGTCAATATGAATGTCATCATTTTGTGCAAAAATATGAATAGCATTTCTGTTTGTCTCTGTGGACTGAATTCTACTCTGGTGAAATAGGGCACACTGAAACTCTGAAAACTCTGATAGTTACATAGACATTGTGTTGCTTTCCCCTTGCCTGTATGAACTCACTCAGCAGCCGTTTTACATTTTCAATCCTGTACTTCTAACTTAAACGAGTTAACCATATCTTTCAAAAAACTCCACCATAAGACTGGTATTTTTCACAATGGTAAACACTATGCCCATTCCAAAATCTATTATTGTATTGACAGAATTTCAGAGTGATGTAATGCACATGCATGCTGATGTGACAGATGGAAGATTCAGATCCATGCTTTTTCCTGGGCAGGCCAATTTGCATATATAGAGGATTGTCTATATTATCCAAACCTAATTTATACATAGGCTGTATGTTCTTCACTAATGGAAACCAAAGACAATGTAAGGTAGGAGTTGCCATATGGTCACATTTTTTTTCTACCTGTGTGTCAGCTAAATAATTTTGTATGCATCACATTGAAGGCACCACATAAAACTTAAAAAATCAACACACCCACGTGTGCTTATATATGTATACACACACACACACACACACACACACTTACATACATATTTTTAAACCATTCATTTGCAGCTCAAATACAATGTGCATACTAAAAAAATCACTTTGGAAATTTCCCCCATGATTTCTAGTTTTCTCTGATTACCTTTAGCTATTTCTATTTAAATGACTTTACACACGCCTCTAGCTAATACAGAAGATACTTCCATTTCCTTTGTGCCATTTCCTATACTTTGCTATCCTGTGACACCCTGGTAAAATCCCATCATTCTTTTCTGGCCCAGCTGCATCTATTTTCTTCATCTCTTTCTATTGTAGTGGCTCTCAACCTGTGGCCCCAAGATGTTTTGACTTACAACTCCCAGAAATCCCAGCCAGTTTACCAGCTATCAGGATTTCTGAGAGTTGAAGGCCAAAACATCTGGGAACCCACAGGTTGAGAACCACTGGTCTATTCCCTGCTCTTTAGTTAAATTGGCAAGTTGGAGAAGCAGCATTAGTAAAATGACCACAGCTGTTGGATTCTTTATATTTAAGCTAAAGTACATATTGCTGTGTGTAGCACTAGCCCACATGCACCATCATTTTTAAACATGGTAAAGACAAGTAGATGAGTGGAATTCTCCTATGTGGTGGAAAGATGTAACTTAATGTTACACCAAGCTTGCAAAGCATCCCCTCCCTTATTAACTTGCCTGTTTCTGAAGATTTTCATATTTTAATTCTGCAAAGATATTGAATGGGTGATATCTAGCTTGACAACAGGATATGTGAGTCTTAGTTAGACCGCAAACTGAACAGGAGTTGACAGTTTGGTGTGTCAACTTAAAAAGTCAATGCATTTCTAGGGTACATCAATAGGAACTAGAAGACCAAGGGAAGTGATAATTTCAACTCTAGTCTGTTTTGGTCAGACCTCACCTGGAATAAAACTGTGTCCAAGTCTGGGCACCACAGTTGAAGAAGGATATTGACAAATTGGAATGTGTCCAGAGGAGGGTGACCAAAACGGTAAAAGGTCTGGACAATGTGTCCTATGAGGAGCAGTTTAGGGAGCCTGAAGATATGATAACCAGGTTTAATGAAGGACAGCATAACAAATGTTTCAATATTAAGAAGGATGTCATATTGAGGCAAGAGCAACCTTGTTTTTTTGCTGCTCCAGGGACTTAAAGCAGAACAACAGATTCCAACTACAGGAAAAGAGACTCCGCCTCAACAATTAGGAAAAAAAAATCTGATGGTAAGAGCTATTCAGTAGGCCTGGGTAACAACAGAAAAATTTGTTTCTAAAATCGATTCGTTTTTTGGGGTTTTTTGCGTTTTGATATTTAAAAGAATTCCGAAATTTTCCTTTAAAAAAGTTCGATATTTACGAAATTTCGTAAATGGTAAAAAAATTACAAAACAATAACGAAACAATAACGAATCGATTCGTTAATGGCGGACGCGACCGCGCAATACGCTAAAAAACCTCCAAATGGGACAGGGGGAACTTCTGAAGCTTCCCT